AAAACTGCACAGAGTGCTAAGCAAAAAGCTAGAAGAATAAGAAGAAGATCATTTCATTGAAAAAGCAATTTGGAGAGGAATGATTTACCCCTAAGAGTAAGATACAGTGGTTTCGTAGTCAGTGTTACTGTCCAAAATCGAGGATTGCTCAAGAAAAAAATAAGGGTTACTATCAAAAGATTAACCATTCATAGTTATGAGTGAACTATCAGGCAAGACCCGTTCAAAAAAAAAAGGACTATAAAGCAAGAGACGAGCAAACATTGAGGTAGAGTTTTTTTTTTTAAGTAGCGAAATGAATGTGGCAAAGAAAGTCTACTTACCTGGTGCGGCATAGCCAATGGATCCTCTTAGTCCAATAGAACGACTTGTTTGATGTGCAGAGCTACTATTAACAAGAAATCGTGTTAAACCAAAGTCACCAACATGTGCAGTCATCTCGTTGTTTAGAAGAATGTTGCTTGGCTTCAAATCGCAGTGAATTATGCGAGTGTGGCAATGATTGTGAAGATAATCCAAGGCAAAGGCAATATCTAAGGTAATATTTAACCTCTGAAGAAGACCTAAATTTCTTGGCTCCTCATTCACCTCATCTTCCCCTTGAATTGGATGCAACCACTCCTCTACATTCCCATTGACCATGTACTCATAAACTAGTGCCTTGAAATCATTCCCTTGGTAATCAACACCTGAACATGCAGTGACCACCTTCACAAGATTTCGATGCCTGATGTTTCTCAAGGCCTCGCACTCTGCAAGAAAACTCTTGGAAGCCCCTGGACGCAAAAGGTTAAGTACCTTTACAGCAACAATAGTTCCATCCTGGTCAAGAACTCCTTTATACACAGAGCTAAAACTACCCACTCCAATTAAATTGTCTGAAGAGAACTCATTAGTAGCTTTTAGGAGACTTTGATAAGACACTTTCAAGAGTGAATTTTCTAGCAAACTTGACGATTTTGCTTGTCTTGACTTCTTAGACCAGTAAAGGTATAAAAAGCACACCACCAAAATTACTCCTAGAAGCCCACAAGATAATGGAATCAGGAGTTTTAGGATGAGGTTTGACCTCCTTTTCTTCAACTCTTTAACCTTGCATCTAGGTAATCGTAATTCAGGTACACCCCCACAAAGCTTACTATTTCCCATAACATATGTTGCGCTCGCATTTTTGAAGATGCCTTTGATTGGTACCTCACTATCAAAGTCATTGAAAGATAGATTTAGCTCCTTCAGCTGAAAACCTGTCAAATATTCTGGAATTTTTCCCGACAAATTATTGCGTGAGAGATCCAATTTTTGAATACCTCTCAAAAAACTTAAAGACGAAGGAATAGGCCCTCGGAAGGAGTTTCCTTGCATGAAAAGGAATTCCAACATTATACAACTACCAAGTGTGTTCGGAATTTCACCAGATAACATGTTGTCAAAAACATCTAGTTCACCTAAATTTTTCAAGTTTCCCACCTCTGGGGGAAGGGAACCACTCAAATGGTTTCGAGATAGGTCTAGGTACAACGATAAGGATGAGAGACCGAGAACCTCCTGAGGTATGGTGCCACTAAAATTGTTGCCAGAGAGATCCAATAGTAACAAACTCTTGCATTTTCCCATACTTGAAGGGATGCTGCCCTGAAAGTTATTTTCACTTAAGATGACCTCGGTTAGAAGGCTTAAGTTTCCAACAGAGAATGGAATAAAACCTATAAATTGGTTTCGACAAATATACCATACACTTAGCTTTTGAAGTTTACCGATATCGCTTGGGATGTTACCTGTGAATTGGTTTTCAGACAGGTCTAGGAAAGTCAAGTTTATAAGATTTTCTATCGCAGTTGGAATGCTTCCAACTATACAATTGTCGTTAAGAGTAAGTTGTTCAAGCATTGTTGACAAGTTGCTGATGGATTCGGGAAATGTTCCACCAAACTTATTATGGCCCAGACTCAACACCGTTAAGTAGGTGGCATTTGTCAAAGAAGAAAGAAAGCCCAAATCGTCTGGTCCACCACTTCCAAAACTGTTCCGACCAATGTTTACAAACTGAAGCTTATGTAGCTTTTCCATAGTTGGCACTTTTCCATTAAAATTGTTGATAGCGATTTCAAATACTTCCAGATTTGAGGCATTGGTTATTGAATTAGGGAATGACCCAGTAAATTGGTTACCACTTAAGCCAAGGAATTGAAGATTAGGAAGAGTGATGCCTATATCAAAGGGAAGGCTGCCACGCAGGTGCTTATTATCGATCACATCAAAAGCTGTGAGGGAAGAGAGATTGAAGATTGACGGAGGGATGGCACCAGACAATCTACTTTCGCCTAGTCCAATCACTGTCAAGTTGCCCAGATGACCAAGAGAATCGGGGATACTTCCACCAAAACCATTTTCGGTTGCAAGTAGAATTTTAAGAGATGTTAAGTTTGCAAAAGAATGAGGAATATCTCCGGTTAGATCATTGTATTGGATTGAAACTAGTTTGAGCTTTGACAATGAGCCTAGCTCTATAGGAACTGCCCCTACCAGCTTGTTGAAACCAAAATCGAAGCCAATAAGACTAGAGCAACTAGATAAGTTGGCAGGAATATTGCCACTGAACGAATTATAATGTAGGTCTAAAATTTTCAGCCTTGACAAACGTCCAAGTTCTGAGGGGATTTCACGAACAAGACTGTTGTTCTGGAAATGTAGTTCTCTAAGGAAGCTTAGATTCCCGATGTGTGGCGGTATGGTCCCAAATAATTTTTGGGATCTCAGGTCCAACTTGGTGACTTTTTGGTGGCGTCGACCACATGTAACACCGTGCCATTCGCAGAAGAGGGCTGATCCATTCCATGAGCTCAGAACCTTGAACGGATCATCAATTATGTTTGCCTTGAATGCAAGCAAAGCAAGTCGATCTGTATCGTTCCCTCGCAGCCTAGATGCAGCTACTATGGTAGGAAACCTTGGGTGCAGAAAGCTGAAGCAACATACAACCATAACATAATAGAAAAGTGACAATTCTGTGCTTAACCTTAAGCATGAAAACCCCATTAGAGTTGAAGAAAACTTATTGCTCCTGCAGTTCATATGGAGGATATATGGCTTTTGCACTTCACCTCCTGCATAGTAAAGAAATTTCAAGTGCTCAGGAACTAGTATAAAACATGGATATGAATTATTCAAGAACTTGCAACAATTAATCTATATTGGAGATTGTACCTGTGCTTGGATTTTAAGTTTTAAGCTTCTGAATTCCTCTTTTCCCACAAATTTAATAAGGAGAAAGAAAAAGGAAGAGAAAATTCTCAAACTGTGACCACTCAAATAGGTGAAGAAGAAACTCAGTCCCCTGGTTGGATTTATATGCACTTGCTTCCCCCAATTTCTCTTAAAAGTGCATGTCGACGTGGTACCAGGAAAGACAGACTGTTTGTTGCCCATTAACATCAGGCACGATAGGTCGCCCACATTTTAGCATGGATTCAAAACGGTCGATTTGCAATGATCTACCCATTTTTAGAATTAAATTTTACTCACGTCTAACTAAAAATTTAATATAAAAAACTTGATTTAATATAGAACAATTCAATAGATAAGCTCAGATTTCTCTTGTAGAGCAATACAAATCCTCGGGAACCAATCAAAGACAAGGGTTAATCAAAGGAAAAATAAGTTTACATTCAAATCAGAGAAGAGATGAATCAAATTGTATATAAGCTAACTTGTACAGTCTTGACTGTTAAAAAAAAAATCCACTAAAAATGACTTTTTCATGTCTATCAACGGAAAAATAGCACCACCCAACTAAAAGTGGTGGGTCTCATGCTCCACTAGCAAATCTTCGAATCTCTTGTACCCAATCTTGGATCCACCTTGACCCACGACTTTGATAAACCATTGTATGCTTTTTTTTCTTTTCCAAGAAAATTCGTCTCTAAGGCACACCAATCCCTTTAAATAATCATGTAGGAGAACAGCTTCAACTTTTATAAAGCATTTGAAAGAGTTCAAAACTAAAAAAGTTGATATAACTCATTCATCTAAAAAATAATATATATTTGAATTGTAATTTTTTAGGTTCAATTTAAGTTGTGCATCATTACTCTTTTGGATATGCCTCACTTCGGGTTTATCTCTCATAAAATCACAACTAAATATTCCCTGATGACAATCCAACCACAAGGTCAATAAAATTCAGGTTTTAGGCTCCATATATTATTGATGATGCATATATTATTGATGATACATGTAACGCGAATAAGTAGAATAGGGAATGCTAAGTTTACTGAAGTCTAAGCTTCAAGGCTCTTAGGAATAAGATTTCTGGGAAGGGGATTAATTTCAACAGGAAAACTATAATGGTTCACAAGCTCTGAAGCTTGGTTAATCTACTCTTTAATGAAATCTCTTACTCTTGGGAAATATATTGATCGAAGGGGGGATAATTACACAGTATTTCTGGGCTTTGTCTAATACTTATAGCTAATTCTGAGCCTAGCAAGATCTAAGGTGAGATCCTTGCCTCTTTCTCGTAATGGCCGCTTGAATTGTGCAACGGTTGCAGGGCATTCTGTGGCGGTTGTGAATTGAGTGCCTGGATAAGCAACTAGTGTTACTGAAGGAGTGCTTTGTAGGCATCAGCTGTCCTCCACTTCGCCTCCCCGTAGGTGTGGATTGAGGAAGGTCCAGGTCAGGGGGAAGGGTCTCAATGAGATAGGGCTCCCGACTAGCGAGGCTGAGCTAGATAACCGAGCTGAACCTTAAGTATTTTCTAGGTATCATCATTTATAAAGTCTCAAAATTTGTAAATGTATAGTTAGTCCAAATAGCATTTCCCAATTTAAAAAAAAAATTTGATTCATAAGATTTTAGACCCCAAAAAAGATTTATAAAAATTTAAACACAATCAAAAATAAATTTGAGTATTTTGTACTCATGAATCCATCCCATAATATTAAACATATACCAATTTTTAAAAAAAAAAAATTACTACGGGTCAACCAAAACACACCACTCATCTGTAATCATCTCCCTATATCACTTATTCTCTTTTGAACACAAACTTTTTTTTTCGTTTTTTGATGTGTGTTGGGAAAACTATACTAAAATATTTTTAGTATTTTATTTAACTTAAAAAATTAAAATCATTATTGTTTAAAAATATGGTAGTGAAACTTAAACATAGAAACTAATAACATTTTTAATCTCAAAAAAATAGGAGGAATAAATTTTAAATAAAAATTATTAATATTAAAAATAAAAAGTTTCATTTTTAATTGTGACTTTAGACTTCAAATTTTCTTGGGCTCCCACACATAAGGAAATATCAAAAAAAAAAAAAAGAGCAATGTTATTGAGACATAATTTAAGGACTTAATGATTGTGGTCATTAGATTATCAGTGAGTCCCAACATTGAAGTATTACTAGGTCCCAACACTATCAACGTAATAATCATAATGTATTAAGTTTCTATATTATATCATTAAATTATGTCTCAATAACATTAGTGTAAAAGAGATCTTTATAGCCACATGAAATCCACTTCTTTACCGAGACTGTCCCGCAGTTCTTCCTCCATTATTGAAAAGGGGAACTTTGAAAAACTTTCAACTTCCATACGATAAGGAATGATAGAGAAGTAAAAAAAGTTGTTCCCCACTGATCCCTTGAAACGACTCAACTCTAGAGTTAAGCTTCTCATGATGAAAGTCCCCAGTCAAGTGAAATAATAGCATATTCTGTGTAAGTAATTGGTACTTAATTTGGGTATCTTGGTCATTTTAATGGTACTGTCCTTCTCGTCTTAAAATCTTAGAGTGTGCACTGAAGACTTGAAAAATTATAAATTGAGTACTTGTCATCAAATTTCTCAATCATAACCCCACTTTGTTTAATGTCATATTTACTAGATGTGGTGGCTATTGTAATAGTCCGGTCATTAGGGTTTTGTTTGTTTATGATTTGTGAGAGCATCTCTAACTTTAACTCAAATTTAAATTCAAATTTGAATAAAAATGTATTTGTTCGAACTGAAAAAGAGATTAATCAAGGTGTATATAAGTTGACCCGTACACCATTAACCATAAAAAAGAAAAAAATCACTAAAAATGACTTATTCATATATACCAACGGAAAAATAGCACCACCCAACTAAAATTGGTGGGTCTCATGCTCCACCAGCAAATCTTCAAATCTCCCGTACCCGATCTTGGATCCACCGTGACCCACCACTTTGATAAACCATTGTATGCTTTTTTTTTCTTTTCCAAGAAAATTCGTCTGCAAGGTACGCCAATCCCTTTAATCACGCCAGAGAACAGTTTCACCTTTTCCAAAGCATTTGAAAGAGTTCAAATGCTTTGGATGGATGGGTTCTTTTGAAATGAAAGAGTTCAAATGCTTTGGATGGATGGGTTCCTTTGAAAAAAATGATGGGACTCATTTATCCAAAAGATTCACCTTTAGCTTGAAAATACAACATTTATCGTGGTTAGCTAACAATTTGTTAAATAAGTATATACGAAACATGAATGCAGAAGACCACAAAGAAAATACAATTTGATTAAGCTATAGATAAAATATTACGTAAATCAATGCATATGATCATAAACATTTCATATTATGAATATACAGAAAACACAAAACTACACGTATCAAAGTTATCTCGTCGAAAATCTATAGTGTCATCTCTTTGTTAGAGTTTTTCTCTTTTTTTTTTGCCTTTTTATTAAAAAAGGAGTTTTGACAAGTAAAAAGTTTGTCTTTATAATAACTTAGTCCCACATAAATAATTCAAAAATAGTTATATAGAACTGTTGTACTATTTGACCAATGAATAAACCAAGACTCTTAATAATTCAATTGTGTAACACTGATAAGTAGTGACACGTGTGTATGCAAATCCTGCTTTTGGTGTCATCATACTTGTCTGTGTCTATATGTTTTTTTTTCTTACTTGACATTTCTGAAGATGAGATCTCAGAGATGAGACTCACCAATGGGAACATCAAGGCCTTTATCCTGGATCCTTCTGGAAGTGCTTTCTTCTTTTCTCACTGCTCCTTGAATGCTGCCTGCGTGCTCTGTTTTGAGGAGTACAACCTACGAGCAAGAAAGGAGCTACTGGCTTCATCATCCATTAGTTTCTCCCACTCCTCAAAGAAGCCGGAGGACGGTGAATGAGCAGAAAAGTAAGTTGGTATTGTGCTTTCCATTCGACTATAGACAATGCCAGTGAGATTGTAATGACACTGTACTCATGGACTACTTGTGGTGTAGACTACTCTGCATTCCTCTGTTTTGAATGTGCAATCCCACGTTGATGGAAGTTTTTTTGCTTTCTTTGTCTCCTATTGAGTCTGGATTCTACTGAAAGTACCAGCTCAAGGCTGGCACTTTCTTTAGAATTCTAGACTCTTGGTTTTGTTGTTAATCTTTTGGTTCTACTTTTGTAATGGGTGGATGCATTGTCATGTGAGCATCACCCTTTGTTTTGATCTTGTATTTCTCCTTCTTTCTTTATGAATATAATTTACCTTCCGTAGAGTATCATGCTATCCGCTTTTGTCAATAAAAATATTACATGTGTTTTTAGTATCATACTATCCGCTATCCAAACTGACTCATTATAATTGTCTGGTAACACAGCACCATATGAGCTATTGACAATCCATACGAGCTGTTGACAATCCATTCCATGAATGTGACTTTTGTTTCGTTAAAGAATCTGCTTTTGGGGGAAACACTTAAAGACAATAACAACAATGGAAAGAAGTGTTTTCCCGAAAAATTCTCCTTGGTATGGAAAACGTAATTTTTTTTCATGAAAACTAACCTACATGATCAGTTTGTCTACATTAAAGAATTAACAACAATGCAGTGAAGACCCAGTAATCAGTTGGCCATAGGGCAAATTAAATTTCTCTCTATTGCATTAGCTTGGGGGGTTTTCATACCAAGTGTAGATTTTTGAATTTTTCTAGAATACCAAATCGTACGGGAAGTTACGTTCTAAACAGGTAAAATTACATTTCAAACAAGTCAAGTTACGACTCACTTAAGTTAATTTAGGATCCATCAAAAGTTTTTGAAGTCTTAAATTTTTTCGATATCATAAAAGTTTCGAAAATATATTATCCAGTTCCTAAAAAAGTGATGGGTTCATGCCTATTCAAGATTGGATTCCAATTCCAGATCTTCGTTCAGGTATGCCATTAGTCCCCATGAATTTGTTCCTTACCACAAGCAACTTGGCTAAAATTTCACTAGTGTCCAACCATTCACTTGGGGTTTCTTGTGAACATGCGAGTCCAATTTCAAATACTGAAATCAAGCACTCCTGAATTTTGTAACTACCAGCATGACTCTGATACTAACGCCAATGGTTTATGCTCGTCTCTCCCACTTCTTCAGACTGGAGAAGTCTTGGATCAGCGACACTCGTCACTGTTTCAAGCAAAGTAATCGTCCTCACATAGTTATGAAGGTTCAAATTACCGTTAAATATCTCATCAGTGAGTCTCTTTCCAAGAAACATTTCCAACAATACGATGTCATAGCTATATACATCCCCATGTGTCGACGGTGCACTTCCCATGCCATACTCTAAAATTCAAATATAAGAGTATAAAAACTGAAGTAAAGGAATTTGGTCGCAGTGCATGCTTGAATATTTACGTTTTTACTCGAGAATTGCATGTGTAAACTTGAATATTTACTTTTTACTCGAGAATTGCGCTTGCACCCACATTTGGCGTTGGAGAGTTCACTTTGAGAAAGCCAATAGAACCAATTTTTCGTATGATTTACAACTTATAACATAAGTGCTCAACTCTTAACTCATGTAATTCATAACTAATTGGTAATGGATGGAAAGACTTATAAAATTGTAGACAGAAGAATCAAAAGTCTGAATCACGAATGTTTCTGGCATGAACAAATGAATTAAATTAAAATAGATTCTTGTTATTTGTTTCAGTAGTGAAACGAATATAGCAAAGAAAGAATACTTACCTGGCGTAACATAACCAGTGGATCCTCGTAGTCCAATAGAACTACTTATGTGATGTGCAGAGTTACAAATACTAGCATTAAGAAGAAATCGTGCTAACCCAAAGTCACCAACATGTGCGGTCATCACGTTGTTTAGAAGAATGTTGCTTGGCTTCAAATCACAGTGAATTATGCAAGTGTGGCAATCATGGTGAAGATAATGCAAGGTGTAGGCAACATCTATGGCAATATTTAATCTCTGAAGAAGACTTAAATTCCTATTTCCTCATTCACCTCAAATTCTCCTTGAATTGGATGCAACCACTCCTCTAAGTTCCCATTGACCATGAACTCATAAACCAGTGCCTTGAAATCATTCCCTTGGTAATCAGCACCTGAACATGCAGTGGCCACCTTCACAAGATTTCGATGCCTGATGTTTCTTAAGGCTTCGCACTCAGCAAGAAAACTCTTAGAAGCCCCTTGGCGCAAAAGGTTAAGTATCTTTATAGCAACAATTGTTCCATCTTGATTAAGAACTCTTTTATATATAGAACGAAAACTATCCACGCCAATTAAATTTTCTGAAGAGAACCCATTAGTAGCTTTTAGAAGACTTTGATAAGACACTTTTAAGAATGAATTTTCTAGAAAGCCTGAAGATATGGCTTTTCTTGACTTCTTAAACCAATAGAGATATAGAAAACACATCGCCAAAATTAGTCCTAGAAGCCCACAAGATAAAGGAATTAGTAATCTAAGGATAAAGGTCAGCCTACTTTTCCTCGACCCATTGAAGTTGCATCTTGGCAATTGCAATTCAAGTACCCCCCCACACAGCTTATAATTTCCGTTAACCAAAGTTGCACTTGCTTTTTTTGAAGATGCCTTTGATTGGTACCTCGCCATCAAAGTCGTTAAAGGACAAGTTCAGTATCTTCAGTTTAAAACCTACCAAATACTCACGAATTTTGTCTGATAAATTGTTACATGAAAGATCCAATTCTTGAATACCTCTCAAAAAACTTAGAGGTGAAGGCATAGACCCTTGGAAAAAGTTGCCCTAGATGTAGAGGATTTCCAAACTCCCACAACTCCCAAGTGCGCCAGGAATTTCACTTGATAACATGTTCTCAAAAACATCCAATGCGGCTAAATTTTTTAAGTTTCCCACCTGACAGTGGCGGATTTAGTATGGGGGCAGTTGCCCCCACTATAATTTTCAAAAATTTTGGGACCTAGTTGTAATTTTAAATTTTTCAAAAATTTCTTAAACTTGCATCCACTGAAATTTTCTTAAAGTATAGGGTATATTAATATAATTTTTAACCCTTAAAAGCTAACTTTTGGCAGCTCTTCCTCATTTTTCACGCCTAGCAATTGCCCCCATTGAAATTTTAAAAAATTTTGGGACTTAGGTGTAATTTTAAAATTTTCAAGCATTTCTTAAACTTATCCCATTGAAAATTTCTTAAAGTATAGGATATATTGATATAATTTTTAACCCTTAAAAGCTAACTTTTGGCAACTCCTTTTTACGCCTGCTTTTTGTTTTTTTCGTGAGCCTTCGTATTCTTTGTTCAGACTTTCAGTCCAATCCAGACATCCAGCCCCTCTTCTTTCTTTTATTTAGTTTCTTTATTATGTATTCATCAACAATTCAGTCAGTTGGATTCAATTATTGTACAAATCAAATTTGAAGAAACCCTATAAGATTATGTTGAAACTAAGGAGAAGTAATCCATTAACCAAATTTTTTGATAATAGTATTAACACTAATCTAAAATCGAATTTTTTATATTAGAAAATTAGTTTAAGTCTTATAGAATTGCGCCTCTAAATGACATTCTTTTGATGTAACTATACTTAAAAACAGTTTATCAAGAATACACATTTTGATGAAAATAATATTATAATTATACTTTAAAATTTTAAATTGTCCCGATTGAGACAAAATCCTGGCTCTGATCCCGCCCATCTCACTGGGAATGGAACCTCTTAAAAGATTTAGAGACAAGTGTAGGGACACCGACAAGGACGAGAGACCAACAACTTCTTGGGGTATGGTACCGCTGAGATTATTGTCAGATAGATTCAATTCTAACAAATTCTTGAATTGTCCCATGCTTGAAGGGACGTTGCCCTGAAAGTAATTTTCACTTAGAAGAACTTTAGCTAGACGGCTTAAATTTCCAACCGAAAACAGAATAAAACCGTCAAATTTATTTTGAGTAGTTCGAGGTTTGTCGACAAGTTGCTGATGGATGCAGGAAGAGTTCCACCAAGCTTATTATGCTCCATATCCAACATCCTCAAACTGGTGGCAGTTGTCAACGAAGTGAGAAAGCCCAAGTCGTCAGGGCCACCACTTCCAAGCATATTGTGGCCAATGCTTACAAACCGGAGCTTAAGTAGATTTTCCATAGTAGGCACTTTTCCATTTAAATTATGAAAAATTTTATTTGAATCTAAAAATGTGAACACGATTTTATTGAAATCATTGGATTAATACCAAGTTCTAATGTTTAATAAAACTCACAGTTAATTTAAAGATCATAGTGAATTAGGTCTCAATACCATTACTTTTAAATTATTCCCATTAATTTCAAATGTTCTCAGATTCGAGGCATTCACTATTGAATGGGGGATTGACCCAGTAAATTTATTATCACTAATGCCAAGAAAATCAAGATTAGGAAGAGTGATGCCTAAATCCGAGGGAAGGCTTCCATGGATATAGGGGACGCAAGCGAGGTGGTCTATCATATGTGGGCTCTTATTTTGTGGTTCATAATATTGTAACAAAGACGGTTGTGATGACTTAAAATTTTTTTAAAAATAAAGTTGGTTATTTGATTAGCTCGCAAAACTACATTTGCTATTATTTTATGTTATATTTGAAAATGTATTTTATGGATGATTTCGGATTGATCACCGACAAATATCTACTAGTCACCTCCATAATTATAATAAACTCTAAATTCAAGAGGCGTGGTGATAATTAAAAGGATACATCTATCTAAACTGTTGATCAAGAGGACAAATGGTCAAGAGTAAAGAACAGTCGGTTGTGTATTAGTTTTTTTTTTTTTTTTTTGGGGGTATTAATTGAAGTTGCCCTTTTCCGATAGTAACTTAGTACTAAGTTTGGGTCATGTTTGAAGGGCTGAGTCTTAATGACTTTGTTGCAGTTTTATTTCATTCCACATATTTGGTATAAAACAGTACGACATAATGGGGGGTTACTAGGCGATACATAATCGATATTGACATTTAAAATAACAAGAATATTCTTACACCAACCAGGAGGCACTTTGATTTGATACAACTATCTCGAACGATTTTATTAAATCCTTGCGCCTCTTAACGGTTGGTTTTTTTAGAAAGTAGTTATGCTCTGTTTAGTACGATGAAAAAATAGAATGATAAAAAGTTAGAATGATGAAAAGTTGAAGGGATGGATAAAATATCATGTTTGGTAAGTAAAAAAAATAAGAATGATGAAAAAGTGAATGAATTAATTTTCTTTCCAACTCACCAAAATCAATCTCTTCAAAATCGGAAGAAAAATGGATGAAAAGTTAATTATTTGTGTTGAGATGTATCTTATTTGTCTATTTATATTATGTATACATTAATTTCACATAAAAAATATAATGGTAAAATATGTATATATATATAAAAAAAAATTAAAATTAAAAAAATATTTTTTTCATCTTAATTAAGGGTTAAAATTTTCGACTCAACACGATGACACGACTCGAACTCGACACAAATTTTATGACACGAACTTAATTATAACTCAACGCGAACTTGAAAATGACCTGACATGCGAACAAAAAATATAAAAAGCTCAAATTTTATGACTCAACACGAATTTGACACGACACGACTCGATTATCAACTCTAATCTTAGCCATCACAAAAATAAAAAATAAAAATTAGTCATTTTTATTTTTCATCTATCCAACCAAACACAAAGGAAGGAAAGTGTATCATTTCTATTTTTCATCCTTAAAAAATAGAAAGTGTATTCCTCCTACTTTTCATCATTCCTACTTTCCATCTTTTCTACCAAACGGAGCATTAGACAACTGTCTCTGTAGATGAATGAAGTGTAGGCAAAAACTAACATATAACACCCTCATTTATTATACAAACCAGACATCATAATACATAATTTAACACCAAAAAAAAAAAGACTTGCTATACTTACCAAATAGTTTACCATAACATGTTTACCAAATGTATATAGCTAGGTTGTTGGATCAATTCTAATTAGACCTTTTGATCCAACCATCAACATTCAATCACTAAGCAAAACTTGATAAACTATTTTTGATGCACGCTCTATTACTTCTTTCACATACAAGATTATGTAGTGATCCACCTTTAGCCTGAAAATACAACATTAATCGTGGTTAACTAACAAGTTGTTAAATAAATATATACGAAACATGAATGCGGAAGACCATAAAGAAAATGCAATTTGATTAAGCTATCGATAAAACATTGCATAAATCACTGCATAAAATCATAAACATTCCATTTTACGAATATGCAGAAAACAAAAAATTGAAGCAATTCAAAGCAATCTCATTGAAAACCTGTGGTGTCATCTCTTTGTTAGAGGTTTTTTTTCTCTCTCTATTTTTTTTTTTTTTGTCTTTTTATTTAAAAAATGAGTTTTGACGAGTAAAAAGATTGTCTTTATGATAACTCAGTGCCACATAAATAATGCCTTCAAACCAAAGAGATACTTATATAGAATTGATGTGCTAGTTGACCTGTGAACAAAGCAAGACTCCAATGACCTTATTTAATTAGGACGTGTGTATGCAAATTTTACTTTTGGTGTTATAAGACTTTGTCATATAAAAGAAGTCTAACTAAGATACCGAAAAGAAACTTTTGAGTATCATAATTAAAACTAACAATTGCATGACAATGTCGGTACAATAACTCCATCGTAGTGTAGCCCCTACAACAGTACAGTGAAGCCCCAGTACTCAGTTGGCCATAAGGCAAACTAAATGTCTATGTATTGTAGGGGCTTGGGGGATTTTTTGTAGATATATGGATTTTTCTAGAATCCCAAAATTGAAGTGACGTTCTAAACAAGTTAAATTACAATTCAAACAAGTTAATTTATGATTCACTTGAGTCGATTAGGGTCAACCACAAGTTTTTGAAGTTTTAAATTTTTTCAGTATCATAAATTCTTTGAAGATATATTAGTCAGTTCCTAAGAAAGTGATGGGCTCATACCGATTCAAGATTGGATGCCAATTCTAGATCTCTGTTCATGTATGCCATTAGTCTCCATGAATGTGTTCCTTACCACAAGCAACTTGGCTAGAATGTCACTAGTGTCCAACGGTTCACTTGGACTTTCTTGTGAACATGCGAGGCCAATTCCAAATATTGAAATCAAGCACTCCTGGATTTTGTGGCTCTGATCCCGATGTTGACGGTTTATGCTTGTCTCTCCCTCTTCTCGATACTGAAGAAATCTCGGATTGGCGACATTCGTTATTCTTCCTGGCAAAGTCATCTTAACATAATTATGAATGTTTAAACTCTTTTTAAACATTTCATCAGTGAGTCTCTTTCCGGTAAACATTTTCAACAATATGATGTCATAACTATACACATCCCCATGTATCGACGGTTCACTTCCCATGCCGTACTCTAAAATCAAAATATATATCAAAGTATAAAAACTAATGTAAAGGGATTTGGTGAGAATTGCATGCTTGAATATTTACTTTTTACTCGAGATCTGCATGTGTAAACTACTACTTCCAGCACTTGCAGATCCGTTTGGCATTGGAGAGTTCATTTTGATAATACCAATACTACATGTTTTACTAAATATATATATATATATATATTTGGCTAGTTTAAAAACTAGAACATAATAATAGTGAAACTAATAACCATAGTTAGAGGCGGAGCTATAAAATTGTGTTAGATATAAATCAGATAATAATTTATATTTAATTACATCTTATTTAATACTTAAAAGTTCATTAAATCTAATAGACCAAAAATTGGTAATCCTAATATATACAAACGACAACAGTAAAAAAAGATTAATTATATCTTTTTATAAAATATAGGTTAATTAAAATTATTTAGAATTGACTCCGGTGAATTTTCATTATTAGCAATCATTGCATAATAACTTTATTATTCTTTATATACACAATCATTTTATCACTTCAGTATTTATCACTAATTCAGAACCGATCTGTAATGGATGGCAAGAATTAAAAGATGAAGAGAGAAGAGCCAAATGTCATTTATTGGATTTGTTTATATCTCCGATAGTATAGTTTTGATAACATTGTAAAACATCTAACTCAAAACCAAATGTCGATGAATGGAGTTGGCCACAAGACTAATATACTAGTTTAAGAGATATTTTAGCAATGTGGAACAAGCTTTAAAATCAACAATTGAAGAAAGAATTACAATCTCTAGTATGAGTGTGGTGCTTTTCTTGATAAAAATGCCACTGCCATTTCTCAAGCTTGACAGAGAAATAACGGAAATGTTACATGAAATTAAAATGTAGACTTAATAACACTACTATTGAATAGGTAGTCGATCCCAATAGATATTGAGACCAACAATGATTGTAATTCTCAAGTCTATTTTTTTAACTTATTTTTTAAATCTATGTAGCATTGCTCGAGAAATAATTTAAAGCTACACATAGAGTGCTAGGCGAAAAGCTAAAAGAAAAAGAAGAAGATCATTTCGTTGAAAAAGCAATTTGGGAGGTATGATTTACACCATAGAGTAAGACACAGTGGTTTAACAGTCAGTGTTACTGTGAAAATTGAGGATTGCTCAAGAAAAAAATAAGGGTTGCTGTCAAAAGATTAGCCATTCATAGTTATGAGTGAACATTTAGGTAGAGCTTTTTTTAAAAAGTAGCGAAGCGAATATGGCAAGGAAATTCTACTTACCTAGCGCAGCATAAACAATGGATCCTCTTAGTCCAATAGAACGACTAGTTTGATGTGCAAAGGTGCTACAGCTAGCATTAAGAAGAAATCGTACTAAACCAAAGTCACCAACATGTGCAGTCATCTCATTGTTTAGAAGAATGTTGTTTGGCTTCAAATCGCAGTGAATTATGCGAGTATGCCAATGATTGTGAAGATAATCCAAAGCACAAGCAATATCTATGGCAATATTTAACCTCTGAAGAAGACCTAAATTTCTTGTCTCCTCATTCACCTCATCTTCCCCTTGAATTGGATGCAACCACTCCTGTACGTTCCCATTGACCATGTACTCAAAAACTAGTGCCTTGAAATCATTCCCTTTGTAATCAACACCTGAACATGCAGTGACCACCTTCACAAGATTCCGATGCCTAATGTTTCTCAAGGCCTCACACTCTGCAAGAAAACTTCTGGAAGCCCCTGGACGCAAAAGGTTAAGTACCTTTACGGCAACAATAGTTCCATCCTGATCAAGAACTCCTTTATACATAGAGCTAAAACTACCCACTCCAATTAAATTGTCTGAAGAGAACCCATTAGTAGCTTTTAGGAGACTTTGATAGGACACTTTCAAGAGTGAATTTTCTAGCAAACTTGACGATGTTGCTTGTCTTGACTTCCTAGACCAGTAAAGGTATAAAAAACACAGCACCAAAATTACTCCCAGAAGCCCACGAGATAATAGTTTTAAAAATAGTGAAAATTGAGGGTAAGTACTCCTAGATGAACTTATAATGACTCAAGTCCTGAAAAGAAACTTATTTGAGAGTCAGTTCATGTTTAAACTTATATGTAGATACTTAAGTACACTTATTTTTTAAATCTAAAAATTACTCCTAACGGTGTTAGTTTTGTCCAATTAGGGAAAGTCGCATATGTTAGATCAGTGAGATATATATGAAAACTCTTGATTGAGTTATATATGGAAACCGTTTATTAAATATTATGATAATTAACAAAAGTTTTATATGAAAATTGTATAATCTGATAGTTATATATAAGAATATTAATGTACAAATAAATTGTTTACTTAACAATAATAATGCATAATATAAGGAGGTTGAATAATGTCAATAGAGTTCAGTAACATGAATGTTAATATATAATAACATTCATGTTACTATATGATTGAAGTTACAATTAGGGTTGTGTTACTATACTGACATTAATGTTACTATAGTAAATTTTAACATATAATTGCAAACTTTGAGACGTATATAATGTAACATACATTATAATATTTACAGTAACATCAAAACTTTGTGTTCAACAACATATCTAATTTTACAAAATACAAAACAATAGTTTTTTTACAGTAACATTAACTTTCGAATAATTTTAGTGAAAATACAATCCACAAATTAAAAATTTACAAAATGACGAGTAGTAACTCACAATCGACAGTTGAATTACGAAACTCAACACTAATTGTGAACATTAAGATATCGAAATTCTGAACTCTATATTTTGGTTTACGTACAGTAACATGAACTTTTTTCATAGTAACACAACCAAAGAATACTTGATTGTCTTGCGCAACAAAATCAAAATCTATAACACTTTAATTTAATATTAATGTATGAGTTCTCTTGGATCTTAGTTACAAGTTTAATGTCCACTTTGACATAATTATATCCCTAATTGTTATTACTTTTTTACCATGTTACTATTTTTTTATGAGCATGTTACTATTTTTTTAGTTACCATATTACTGTCTTTGTTGAGTATATTACTATTATTATTTTTTAAATATTAATATTTTGTTGATGAAGTCTAAAATAAACTGAAATAGTAAATTGAAATTATATTTTATAGAATGTAATGAGTTTGAAATTTGAATATGAATTGTTTTTGATAAATGTCGGTTTCTTGTTTTTCGGATAAGGAAACATTGTGACTTGAAAGATTGTAGCCAGATTTGAAAGCGATTATGAAGGAGATATATATGACTGATTATTGTGTCCATAAAACGTCGTTTATAACATTCATACCGGGAAGAGTTACAATAGTAAAATTGACAAAAAACAGACTTAAAACCAAATAAGTTTCTTGACGGACTTATCTCTAAATAAGTTCATATAAAGGGACCGGTCTCTAAATTTCCCTTAAAAAAATAGAGGTCTTAACTACTTATTAGTAAAATTATAAACAGACTTATTCTCAAATAAATTTCTTTGACAAACTAAACTCATTATAAGTCCTTTCAGGATGACTCAATCCCGGACCCCAATTTTAACATTTTTAAATTGTTGTACCGGTCGCCAATGACATGACAAACATAGAATAATGATCCACTAACGTTAGTCATGGTAAGTAGACCACTAAACTCTCAATTAGTGGAATAATGGTGTATTAACTTTTGTTTAATAGAATAACTATCCACTAAACTCTTTCTTTACTCTTTGATGATAAGGTAAATCCTCTTCTTCTCGCACCTGCTATTCGCTAAGTGGCTCCACTAATACAAATGCTCCACTTCCTGTCCCTGCTATATGGTGAGTAGGTCTCATGACTAACTATTAGAGATACGATAAGATCCATTTAGGTTGAACAACGGATCTTGTCATAGGATTTGTTCTTAATAACTTTGTTACAGAATCATCTAACGTCACATAATACTATATAATAAGTGCTATTAGTGATAACCTCATGCGATGCACGATACTTTCAATCATTCCCCGCCACCATCTTACCCCCACCCCCACCCTATAATTGAACAATTACGTTGTAATTTAATTTTATTAAAAAATTAAACGTTGAATAAGTTAACAAAGATGATAAAAAAATTTAATTTAACTTAATTTTAAAAGATGATATAAGTAGTTAGATAAGTCACGAAAGGATTTAATTGGATAAGTTAGATAATTCAAAATTAAGAGAAACTATTATTTTAGGAGGGAATAAATTAATTGATATAATATATAGTAAGATATAGATAAGGACATAAGTTTGAAAGATATATTGATAGAGTAAAGAGTTATCCTTATCAAAAAGAAATAAAAATTAAAAGAACACAATGAGGAGAAGCCACCTAACATTACTAAAAATTCTAATGGCTAATAGTATTTTACTCCCAAAAGTATACACGTTTGTCAGTTTGGTCCACGTTTTATTTAAATTATGTTTAAATGACCCCTACATAGATTGCCCCATTAAGTTTTTACTGGATGAATTCACGTCACCTGAAATTGTCTAGAAGAATGACACGTGTTCACTTTCATCAAAAAACTTAACGAAATTATGGGACTTAGAGATCATTTGAACACAAATTAAATATTTTAGAAACCACATTGATAAAATTAATATAACGAGAACCAAACTGACAACATATATGTAAATGACATCCAAAATGACGAAGTACCCCAATAGGCCAGAGTCTTGCATTCATGTATGGTACTTTCGTCTTTTCAATTGATACTATTTTTATTAACCTCTAATCCAAACATAGGATTGATATTATGACAAAGTAGTGGATCAATTACTATTACTGACATAGATTGAATTGTAAACAATTGTCTAGTTTCATCTCTTGTTTTAGTCCAA